TTTTTTCCACTCTCGATGAAAATACAGTAATTCAAATCCTTTTTTCATCATTACAGTAATTCAACTCTTTTTTTCCATTATCGATCAAAATACAGTAATTTTAATCTTCTTTCCACTATAGGTGAAAGTACAAATCTCTTTTTTTTTTTTCATGTCCGAAAACCCTCCCTCCCGATAAATTCGTACGTGCAATTTGTAACTTGAACAATGGAAGAAAGAAAAGAGCAACCTGATATATAATTGGAAGAAAGTAACTCGAATGAAAAAAAAGACAACCAAATATAATATGCAAATTTTTGAATGCGCACAGATTATGTGATTACGTGAGTGTTAGGGAGATAAAGGATACAGAAGTGTAAGTAATCCTTATAAAGCTTCGCCTCAATCAGTCACTCATCATTTCCTCTTTTTGCGATCGTGTGGTCCGGTCTTCTTGGAGCGTTCTTTATCTTTTTACCCCCAAGTTTCTACATGATGTCTTCTTCCTCGAGTAATTATTCTGATAATGGGGCAGGTTAGCCTTATTGGACCTATTTCTTCTATTCATTTTTTTCACATATATAAATTCTATACGAATTATTATGAATTTTCTCATTTGTTTCGATAAATTTCGGGAATTTTTTTCCTTTTTTTTTTTTATTTCTTGTATATTGAAATTAATTTAGTTACGAAAAATGTTAACTTTATTGTACGATAGTATTATTTTTATTCGTGTTATTGATTATTTTTGCTATAAATTATTACGAATTTAACAGAAATAATATATCCTTATGAGTGATTTTTGGCAATGTGTCAATCAATACTGGAATAGAATAAGGTGATACTGGTTTCTTTACTGACCAATAACGTTTATTCACGATTTCGCAATCGTGCTATTTTTCATTTCTTTCTTTCTTTTCCATTTATAGCTCTGTTTCTTAGTTTTCAAAAAATTAACCGATATGATATAATGTATTTACTGTATTTTTCATGGTGTAAAAGTAAGGAAAGGATTGCAATCTTTTCCTTACTACTCTTACACAATGAAAAATACAGATACATATTAGGATATTGATAGTTCGACCGTTCAGTCTAAAATTCCAAAAGCACAATGAAGTGAACAGTTCCTCCTGAAAATGTTTTTTTTTTTATGTAAATTTATTAGTATTGCTTAAGTGAGAAAGTGTTACGATATGATTGTGTAGTGACTTTGAAAAATTCTGAGCGATGATTACTGAATTTTGTGTTGACTTATTGATTCGTTGACTTTTACGATTTTCATACAAAAGAAGTTATCAACTTAAAAACGAGAATAGTGAAAAAGACTTATGATTAGACGGGCATTATTAAATATGACGGGCGTTATTTATTATCTGGTCGAATACATTTTTAGAGATGTCCGCTAAACGAAAGTCCGCAAATATTAAAATCTCTGATGACGAAGATGATGTGATGCGCGTTCTTGACGGTAAAAATCACTTAATGATCGTCCGTCCATCCAATCTTTTTATTTCTCTTATTTCATTTTACTGATATTCTAAAATTTCTAAGTATGTAATGTTATCAAATCATTAACTTTGCATTATGGAGAAGGAATAAACTATGCATACTTCAAAGATTTTAAAAATAAGCTTAATATTTTAGCACATTATAAGTATTCTGCTATCTTCAGGTAGGTTTATTATTTATTTAAATCATATCGATAGCTGATTTACTTGGATTACCCAAATTATCCGCTATGCAGGATAATCTGAGATAGTTTATAACAAATTTTCATACAAAGAAACAGCAAGTGAAGAAGATTAGAGAAATCTATGAAAGGAAGAAAGATTAATTAACTATCTCCTAAAGTGTTCTATATTAAACTGGAGTAGTTATAGATGGTTCTCAACAACCACGTCCCGAAATGCAAAATCAGAACGTGACAAAAAAGACCAGAGTTTCGAAGAAACAAGCGAAAAATACAGGTTTTTCACTATTATCTTAAAAAAAACGTGTAATATGTAGAATACGTGTATTTGATTGAAAAGTATAAGACTATGCATTACACTGAAACACATACATACATTCAAATATAGCTTTAATTATTCAGATAAAAATATTATACAAAATGATCATAATAGACATGAATGATCTAACTTAAGACATTTCCTGATCACTTTTCTTGTTTACTTATAGGCGTTCCGGTTGGTTATAGAGTTGAAGAGCTGCCACCTGAGGTCATTGAGCAAATGAATCGCCAATCTATGCAGCCACCCTATGCAATAGTGGATCCTACGCGACGTACGAATACTTTCTACCATTCAGTGATGGTCAATTATATGGACCATCCTATAAGTATATCAAATGCAAAAGATCTTCAATTTTTTCAATTCTGATATTTGATTGATTGATTAAAAAAAAAAAAAATTTCATAAAATTTGTCAAATTTCAGATATAGCACCAGTATATGCAGCACCACCACCATGTTGGTGTAACCAACTTGCTGGTGACTTGCGAGCTATCCGTGAATTGATCGGTGCTGTTTCCAATGGAATTCATTGCATTCTTCAGAAGGTTCATATGGATCAAGTTCAGAATGCAGATATGATGTCAAAATTAATGAATACCGTTGAAGTGATTTCGGACACTGTGACTCATCTACCGCTCGCTCAGCTTCAAGGTTCACTTTCAAAAAGGCGGAATTTTTTCCCTTCTTTTGAATTAAATATAATATAAGTAAATAAAATTAGATTAAAAATTAGTTAAATGAATTTATGCGTTATGTTATAGATTAACAAGTACCAAATGACTAATTTGTCCTATCAATGTTACATTTTTTTTTTTAATTTTTTGTACTCAAACAAAAATTTTGCTGTGATAGTAAATCAAACAATTTTTAGAATACGATCAATATTTGGTTGATGATACTGCTGTTCGAGCTGGTGGTGCAAATCCAGTTGACGTGGATCCTGTGGAACCATATTACGTACAAAATGATGCGCAGATCCCACCAGATCAGCCTCCAAATGATGATGATGGCAATTACCAGTGAATGAATATCACGGTGAAACAATTTAGGTGAATATACCTAATGTTGCTTTTTTTTTTTAGTTTTTCTGCAGTTATCTGCATTTTTTTAATAAAATGTTTCTTAAAAAAACACTGCAGTTGTGCATCTCATAAAATACAAATTCGGGGAATTCTATTTTCTTCACTAGTTAACCGGATTCATCATTACGAATGGCTAACAAGATACCAAGCATTACTCCCAATTGCTGCTTGTGAAATTAGCATCAAATGGATATCATTTCTCGGAATAATAAATGGAAAACCAATACCGTTTAATAGACACAGTTTTAACGGTTTGCCAAGCGAAAAACAAAAATTGCTGTACTAAAACTGTTCATGAACAGCAGGCATTTTTTATTTTTCTCAAGAGAACGATCGGAAATTACAATAATACTGATCGTTTTATTGAGCAAGTGATAGAATAAGGATTACAATATATGGAATGGCTAAATTACAATCTTAGGTAAGACTCTTTGCAAATTTCAATTCCTTATGCAAACTGAAGCCAATAACATGTAACGTAAGAGAACACATGAAATGAAAACTTCCTATAAATCACAGCGATAGGCCTAAATTTACATTTTATATTCCTCCAAAATTTCAAAGTCTCTCGCCACACTTTCTTGACATAGATGTGCAAATGTAGTCTCTGCCAATTAGTTTCAAATTTTATATTCTCCAAATTCTGTCTCAAAGCCATCCATCTATTTCTCAAAATAAATAATGATATTACAAGAGAAAAAATCGGTTTAGATCAACTCTCGATATTTACAATAAAACAAATAATATGACACGCTCTAAGCGATAAGAAATCATCATTATGAATTAATTACATAGACTGGAATGATTTTAAAATATATTAATCTCATATGTAAAATGCATACTAGAAATATTAAAAAAAAGTACGACCTGACATCCCTTCCATGAAGTGTGTTGAATATGAAATGTAATGAAAGACTCTATTCAATAATGCTATACCTATCATCAAGGAAAAAATTGGAGATAAAGAGATTCGAAAATTTCACTTAATGATAAACAGATGCAATTATACAAAATATAAATGTAAGTAACTGCATAGTATGCTACATGAAATACATAACGCTTCTAGGTCATTGAATTTATCACAGTGCTATCCAACCAAGATTCAGGTAGATGTTATGAAGTATTAAATGATAATCGTATAGAAGTTTACGTAATAGTTGGAATAATTTTATATATTTACACTGAAGAAAATTATCCAAAATTTGGACCCAGAATGATCAAAAGGAAACAAATGTTAACGTCTGAATAACATCAAATGCAATGCAGTACAAATCGAGAATTACCCCTTTACTTTCACCACAGATCTTCGTATCTTCTTTACTCATGAGAATAAATCTACCGTGATCTTGTGCAAAGCAGTGCTAAATCACTGCATTATATAAAAACAGTAAACTGTTGCAATCAGCAAAGCCAAGTATTATTTATAGACAGTACAGAAATAATTTACATTATGAGATATTATTTGAACTGTTAAAACACATGTAGCAAAACGCCAATCTTTGAAAGAGAGAAAAAAAGTAAGAAAAGGACATATGCAAAAAAAATATAAAAGCTTCAAAATTATGTACACTCCTGTTGATATTAAAACAGCTTATTCTCTCTAATTTAAACAACAGAAATTGAAAAACTGAGCAGTATTTTCTTCTCAAACATGTATATTTATCGTGAACCTGTACTCAAATTGAACCAACCATCTAGAATTTTGATCCCTTTACGATCCATAGGGATATCCAACAGCTTACGCAACGGAATATGCACAGAACCAATCACTGAATTTTCGCCAACCAATGAACCACAGTTCCAGACTGATACTTCTAGTGCCCGGTCAACCAAATTCATATCAGAAAACAATTGATAATTCAACTGCAAATTTATAAATTTAAAAATTATTGGTATTCAATATGAATAAAATGAGTAACTGATATAAGCAAATATCAATTTGATGCTGCTTGCCTTCTAATGAAGACAGATTGCCTACCAGACATTGTCACTCTGTTGAACCACGATCAAAATGCTAGCCATTAAACGTTTTTAATTTATCTAGCGCCAAACTACCGGTTTCAAAATAATACTTAAACTGTAATTACAAACCTCCTCGTTAAAGGTTGGCATTTGGGTATTTTTTACAACATGAGTCTTTCGTTTCGAACTTCTTTGCGGATCGGGATGCAGATATCTATAACAATTAAATCTCTGAAAACTACATTAAAGCACACTACATCGCAAGATAAAAAATACAAAAGTAGACGTAAGTAACTCACGTTTTAACATATGAATCTGGCGCTTGGCCGTTAATGATTTTTAATCCTCTGACGTGACCAATAAATACATTCAAATCTCTATCCTGCTGATCATAAGTAAGTCTCAAAAAAATGCGACCAGTTACTTTCTTCGACGGTATATCGTCCTTATCCACTGTAATTTACATATGTAGAATGATGTTCCCTTTATAAAAGAGATTAAAATATTCTCACAGCAACAAAATTCAAAATTATTTCTATTCAGGTAGTCAAAAAAGAGAAAAATCCAACCTTCCGCTAACTGCAAAAATTGATTCGACTCTTCAGGCGCACTGTCGCGAAAGATCATGTGAAAAAATGAGTAGACCAAATCACTCTGAATAAATTCTCAATCAATTTTCTTACATAAACAAGCAATCATTGAAACTGCATATCTAATTCAGATTATTTTACCCTGCCACCACGAATGCAATTCGAATTTTTTAAATTTACTTCTTATTAAAACTAATAGCATATTAAGAAAAAATTACTTACACTTGCTACTTCAGGATGATATTCAAAGAGAACATTTAGGAACTGCTGCAAATCCGCTTGTCTTCTTTCTGCAACCTTGCGTATATTTGAGCGACCAACATTCGTTCCTTGCGAGAGTGGTGGCAAATGTGCAAATGGAAATCTGATAGTGAAGTAAGAATGGTTCAAGGGTATAATAAATATATAATCAAACTTCTTACTCTCGGACTTCATCAGCATGAGACATAGAGAAAAGGCATTACAATAACATCTGCAGACTACACAATTTTCATCGCCGACTTTTTTCATTCAATCAAAAATATAGATCAGTCATTTCTTTCTATTATCACAAGTATCTAACTATAACACATATGTTCAGACACCAGTTATTGATTGATTCAAATGCTATTCTTTCTCAAACATGCTCATAGTATATTCTCACCTCCTGCACAATTTGATATAAAGTTCATTGAATTCCACAAACGACCTATACACAATACCGCAGACCGTTTCGTTCTCTCGGTTCACTTCGACTTTGTACATCTGTTAAAACAATCGTTCACTTGTGATTGGAGTAACATTTCATCAAAAATCATTTGCTTGATTTCAAAAATCAAATCTTCAAAAAACCGTTTATAAATAATAAGCCTTACATAAACTTTTTCCGGTATATGCCATTTCTCAAACGCCAGCACGTCAGCTCTTGTGATGCGACCTTCATCTTTCATTCTGAAATGAATTTCCCTGCAGTTAATGTTCTTCCAAATGTTGACAAACTATGGATATCACAGTCCGTAATTGAACCTAGGCCAATTGATTAAGAGTTGTTTATGTTTAAAGAAGTAAAAACGATCTTATAATCTAAAAATTTATCAGAAAACATTTTTGGTAATGTCATTTCTCCAAAACTTACGTATATATTTGCTGAATGAAAGAAAGTTTATTGGGATCATCGTATCCGCCTCGTAACATTGATGGCGTACTCCTCATCTGCACCAAAGTATGAGCGAGAAAATTCAACCTAAACAATGTGTTTTTCAAAAACTTAGAACAGTGGCTAAATCATTTTGAAGCAATGCCTGAACTTCAAGAATTTTAGATAAGACGAAAAATATTTCTGGAAAATACATCAAATTTTACCGAGGAAATTTGCTTTTCAAACTTTCTTCAATCATTCGTGTAAACTGAACAGTTGCTTGTGTGTCAGTTAAATTTAAAAGCAAATTGCTTTGCACAAAGTTGACAGCTTCCAAATTCATGCCAGCGATACCCGAACAAGACATCTGCAATATGCATACATAATGGAAAATTCGGAAGAAAGCAAAATTCCATTCTAGAGTTATATTCAATTTAATTGACAGCAACTTTGCTTTTTTTAATGATAACTTTATTTTCACTGTGAATACAAAAAAACTTTCAGTGTCCTAGTACAACGTACTATGTTCTGAAGTGTATATTGTGCACTAAAATGCACAATAAAACTCTTTAAGCTATTTCATTCTCCACGAAGATAGCTGACGAAGCTAATGTTAACTTGGGCAATAAACGTTTAATCCGGAAAATAGTACTGTGTGAAAGATATAACAGACGGAAGATAATATTTGCATACCATTTTCATAAGATTTACGAGTAATGAATATTTCTTTCGAAGTAAATTGAAAGCTTTACAACAGTTATCAACGAAATGCTGATAACGGCTTGTTGCTGATTGAGGCGAACCTTCGTTAATGACGTAAGCCATATCACTTGTAAAAATGAAGGGTGTGCGATCTCTGAAAGCAAATTTCATCATTTGAACACAATTCTCAAAGCACTGATAATTAGAGAGATCAAAGACGTTCTCGTAAATGAAGCTAACCGTCGGAATCCGGCAGCCGTTTGCCAATCACCCATATATTTGCCAAAATCAATATGAAAAACATGGCCTGTCCTAGTAACCAATATGTTATCATTATGTCGATCACCAATACCGAGCACATAAGTAGCAACGCACCAACCTGCGCAAGATAAGTGAAAATTCTGCAGTGCCTGCAAGTCATTTCACTAAAGAAATAAAACTTGATAACAATGATGCTAACTTAATTACTTAACTAATCAATTCTTTAGTTGTCTATCAAAATTATTCAATGCTTTCGATGTTCATGCATCACACAGATCGGAGGTAAAGGAAGGATTGAAAATTACTATTTTATATTGAAATTCAGAAGGATTATGCATTTCGAGCCATTTTTTGAGCAGATCATCTTTAAATACACCAGCAGCACCAACAGCACTTTGAATCTCACATAGCGTACGGCAATCAGGAACCAGTTCGACCATTCCTTTAAAATAGGAATTATTGATTTCGCAAAAGCTACTGGAAATCCAAAAAAGCTAAATAATCTATAAATAATTTTACAACTAAAAATAGTAATGAAAATACTGTACCATTTTTATTTCCAAAAGGTATACAGCGGAAAATGACCATTCTAAGGTCAAGCTCCTGGCTTAACCATATATCATTCATCATTTTCACTAATTGTAACACGAATGCATCTTGCCTCATATCATCACCAACCTGCAATATGCATTGTGAACAATTTTGGGTAAAAAAACATATCAAATCTTGATCAGTATAGCTCATAGCTTGTTAGAACAAAACAACTGACAATTACCAACAAGTGGTAGACAGTAACTTGAAACAACAATTCAAATAAACAAGTGCCAACAATTAGTAAATAATATGTTTAAAAAAAGCCTACCTTATACAGAATTGCAAATGAACTTTTTAAGCCTTTGAATGTTACTTTTATCGGCTTTGTCAGTGAATTGAAATAACTCGATTCTGATACATTTATGCCAGTACATAAAAATGAGGGCAAAAGAGGAAGGCGTACGTTGTTTTCTAGTATTCGAGCATCCAATAAAGCAAGATGTCGTTGAAGAGTCAACTGCTAAAAATTCACACTATGTACAAGTTTTATAAATTTCACAGAATCTGAACATAAGAAAAGAACATAAAGGAAGTCCATATGCATTATCGAACTTTAAGTAACTTAAACACGGACCATTTTACTGGCGTCGCCTGCATCTTTCATTTCACAAGACACAGCATTTAACGCTTGCAAAAGGCTATGCTGATTTTCAATATCAATACCAAATTCTTCGTCTAATAAGTTAAGAACTTGTTGCTGCAATAAACTGCATCTATTTGAATAACTCCGTTCTTGACTCTGGTCTATTCGCTGTTGCAACTGCCTAAAAATATACTGGTACTAATTTACTGTCGAAAATTTTCAAAGATTTTGTACGAAGTGTGGAGACATTTGTAACTTTTTCCAAGAAAAAGTTGCAAATGTCTCCACACTTCGTCAAATGGTAACATATTTTCTTGGAAAAAGCATAGAATATTAAGCCGTCAATCAAAAACACTTTAACAAAAAAGATACCAGTAAAGTTCGAAAGCAAAACGACGGTCACCAGCGCAAAGCGTCAGTAAGTACACAGCTAATGAAGAATCTTCGAATGTTTCAAATCGCAAAGCCTTTAATAACGTATATGTAATTGAACCATATAACAACCCACAAAACAGCACACTTGTGAAATGGTAACATATTTGCAGAACTTTGACACTCGTTCAATTAATGTTTTGAACAATACACTTATTGACTGCCTATGGAACTGAATACAAACTTCTTTCCTCCTCACCTCAATTCATAAATGAAAACTTCTGACTCGTCGAAAATATCAAATGCTAGAGAACTTCAGATTTGGCGAGCAATATTTTAAAATAGATAAGGATTGACGAAAGCAAAAGCAACCTCGACTAATTCGGGAAGAAAATTGAATAGAAAGTCAGATGAAGCATTTTTAAGCCATGATATGGCTTTTGAACGAATGGTGAGATCAGGGAAACTGAAAAAGAAAGTTTCAATAGATTTCTACGCCTAGCAATCGTGTTTTCGATTCATCTACTCAAAATTTCAAAACATGACTTTTCTAGACTAAAAAAATTAATTAAAAAATTACTGCGGAAGCAGAAGCTCGATTGCTTGCACTGAACTCAACGGCATCCAATCATCCAGCAACTGATAAATATTTGTTAATGATGCCCAATCCCAACCAACGGCAGAAGCAAGTACTAAAGGCAAAGCGTTAGGTATCTGAGTCAAATAATGTCGTTTTTCCCACAACGTTTCCTTTTCATCTTCGGTTAAACTGAAAGTTGGAAGAGATCCAATAGATAATCTTTTTTCCTTTTTTTTTTTTGCAACTATATTTGATGATCAACAAATCAAGAGCGAATTATATTTAAGCACTCGGAAGTGAATTCAAACGTTTTGCAAAATCAAACAAAAAAGTGACTTATCTTCATACCGAAAGAAGAACGACAATGTAGTTTCCAGCTTTTCAGAATAATTTCTGCTCCGAAACAAAGGTCAGACTAATCCTCACATACTTCCTCAAGAAGTGTAGTCACAAGCGACATAACTAAAGCAAACACAAAAAAGCAGAAATACCACAAACCTGTGAGTAACTCCGCTTTCTACAATGTCAAGCAAATTCTGTTGTGTATCCGAATCAAGAGAATTGAAATCACGTTTCAGACTGTAAATATTTTTACAATTGACTCTTTATTAAGAAAATTCCCGGCAATTATGAAAGAGATTTGTCTATTTAGCAAAAATTATAAATTGTGCTTTACTAAATTTGATCTAAACCAAATCTACTTTTATTTTTGTGGTTTCTTGGTTGAATATCCTACCCAAATTATACACTAGAACATAATAAAAAATAAAACAAGATTCAACGCGCGTAAGGCAGATTATTTACCAACGATCATATCATCCGACAAAACCTTCCCATTTACCAGTTGGAAAATTTTATCTTGACTGAAAAAATTTTGAGAAAATTACACAAAAATAAGAAGCACCTATTATCGCCGTAGCTGACAGATGGGAAAATAACATCATAATGTAGTTGCGGTAATGTAACGAGCACAACGAGATCATCTTCTGTTTCGAACAATGGTCGAGGACCCCATGGATGAACCACCTTTCCGTTAATAACAGATAGCGGTAAAAGAAGAGATCCTTGTCGAAGTAAGCTAAACAGGCTAGACATTAAAACTTGGAAATGTGTATTTCTTTTTGAAATTAAGACAATTTTCATGCTATTGAACTTTTTGACAGAACCAATGTAGCTTCATGCTTTATAACACCATCCTACTTTTAACAGAACCAACACTGCCGTGACAGTTTTAGCAACATTTAAAATTCAATTAAAGATATTTCATGCAATGCAATCCTAGATTTGTATTACCTCATACCACCAGCAAACAGTCAAGCAAGTTTGAAATTTATGAAAACTCTAAGCAACTCTGTCTTTATTTGAAAGTGGTAGCATAGAAAACTCAAAATCCAATTAAGACAAGTCAGAATATTATATTTTATGATTAAGCAAATGAAAAAAGTCTCGTAAACATGATACTAACACAAACCCTTCATGATCGAACAGTGGGAAAGAAGCACAAGCAAGCTGCTTTTCGAGTAATGTTTGCGGTTCAGTCAACACATTCGATGAATGAATCTGCAGATTACGTCATCAACATGTCTAAGAAAAAAAAAATTTGAAGATCATGAACGACAAAAAACAACTGTACTTCCTACTGCGTTACACAAATTAAATCCATAAAAACAAAGCATACTCACATGATCACCGCAAACTGAATTGCCAGTTCCATAAAGCAGGATAAAAATGCGTGTTTCTCTCGGTAGAACGCAAAGTGGGATGCGAAAACAGGCCTATAAATTTGATATTTTGTGCAGAATAAGATAATAAGGAAAAAAATAAGCGCTAACTGAACTTTACTAGTAAAATTCATGCCGAAATTTTGAATTTAAAGTTCAAATCCCGTCACTTTTCGCCTTCTCTGATAATTATTTAAGGATAATATGAAAAACTTTTTCATCCCACCAAAATAATGTAATCTTTGATATAAAAACAAATTATTGACGCATATCTCATTAATAACTTGAAAAAAAGAAAGGTACCAACCCATGTATTAGTCCGACAGTATGGGAAAAAATGATCATTAATTATCGGTCGGGGATTTTCTTTGAAACCTCGACATATTTCTGCCGTTCCATGCATTACATGGACAGCAACAGAGAACAAACTGAACTGCTGTGACCATTCTCGTGGTATATTGTGGATTGAATCAACGTGCACTAATAATTGCTCATCCACTGTTAGGATTTCCCGTTGTTCACGCTCACTATTCAAGACTGTCTAGAACCAGCAAAAAAGTATAAAACTATCACTTCCGGAAAAATAAAAATATAAGATTGGTGCTTCTAAGGAAAAGAAATACATGATCGATCTTAAAAAGAACGGAAGACAAGAACCATAAATACTTTTACTATTCCAAATGATATCTTGTTATATTACTTTTTTTTCCTTGCACCATGTGCTGAAATGTTCTTTTTTACAAAGTATTAACTTGTATGACTTATAAAAATATATTACGGTAATGGCACAAACAAACCTGCAAAGATAGAACATCGAAACCACATCGTACAGATTTGCAATATATACCAAGAAAGTTATGCACAGCAGTGAGAAGTTCTGTGACTGAGTTTGAAAGTTGTACCTGAAATACATACCTATATATTCCTGAATGATGAAGGTGTTGTAATTCAAAATTAATGATAAATATACACTGATTAATATCGATTAGACAGTTTTATTAATTTATCGTACCACACTGATGGCTTCCCTGTTACAACGACGGCTTATCTGCTACATCAACTCACTGTGTGTTTTATAAAACTTCTCGTTGCAGCGAGGTGTATGTTGTTGAATGAAAAAAATATATATAGATCAGATAAGCAGAAATCTTACAGCTGTTCCTGCAGCAAGAAATAAACGCAGAGCTCCGGAAAGATCGGTCGGCATAATGCGCCCGAGAACAGTACAAAGAAGTTTCACTGATTGGTTTACTCTTTCTTTATTCTTCAGTGCTAAAATTTGCAGAATATTTTCAATCAAAATGGATCTGAAATTAAATACTCGAATAATAAGAACATCATGATATTTACCACTGCTATTAAGATGTGTGGCCGTACAACTACGCAAAGAATTCTTCAGTGTATCCAAAATTTCTTGAACATTTGCCATTGTTCGCACTACAGAATCAGGCTTCTTCGAACTAAAAAACTCCCAAATTGAGAGCTAAAGTTGCCGATATTTTACACATTTTTCGAATCTAAAATTCAATTTGTACCTCACACAAATTATCCGAAAATTCCAAAAAATGTGTGCTATTTAGACACAACGAACACTAATCTCTCGGAGAATTCTCATGATAGCATTATGAAATAGATTACTTAAATCTACCTAGTAACTATCTGCAGTATTTGGTGACCAATTTTGCCGAAAGATATTGAGAAATTTAAGAAAAAAAGGACAAAACTAATACCTGGTTTGGAAAGAACGTCTTAAACTGCCACTAGCACTTGGTGAATCAAGCTGCTGCATTCTTTTGGACCGATTGTCATTTGCTATTTTGCCAACCTACACAAAAAGCAGTAATTGGCAACTAAACTAGAAATAACATCCAAATTTGGCAAGTCTAGAAATTGAAACAAAACATTACTTCAAGCCGTATGTCTTTCCCAAAAGCAAGTGCTTGTCCGACAAATGGATTTTCACCAAGCTGAGAACTGCTAAGAAGAAATTCATCCAATCCATAAATCTGAAGCAGGAAGATCATGAACTGACAAATGATGATAATTTAATGATATCGTATCTGACCGACCAGTTCATAAACAAAACAGAATTTGATTACTCACTTTTAGACCATATTCATCGACCGGTAAACGATCCTGCAGCATACTGATTTGTGAAGGATCAAGGAATGTATTTAATACATTTGCCAAAATGTACTGGATTGTACTTGTAGTTTCGCAGGTGAATGTCATTCTATCATCTGCGCTTAATATTGTTGGCCAACTTAAATAAAATTTTTGGAAAAAATAAATTATTTAAAGTCATACTGTTTGAAGTGTGGTATTTTAAGCTAATTAAAAAAGTATAAACAAATATTCCTAATTTTGTGAAAACTGCACGGTAATAACCCATAATCTAAAAGTACCGGTTTTCTTAAGCAAAAAACATATACCTGTAATCTTTCTCAACAATTACTTTTACACTGGTAACTTTAAAACTTGTTATTAAGTAATCCACGACAGGTGATATAAAACGCCTTGATATTGGATCACATTGCTGAGGCGAACGACGGAGAAGAGAAGCAATCTAAAATTCAATCGACTCATAGTAAATAACAATCTAGAATTTAAAAATGAGATACTGATGCATATTGAAAAAACATATGTGATATTAACATACAAACCTCACGATCAACTTCTGATAGCTTTTCTTGCAACTGTATTTCGTCAAAATCAATTTGATATCTTTCGACAGAATCTCCAAATTCATTTCGTTCATTCTTCTGTCCTCTGGGAGGTTTACAAGGAGCTGACTCTCTACCTACATTAACAATGATTTTCTTTTTTTTTTGGAAACAACAATAGAAGATTTTTTCATAAAAAATTTCCTTTTCAACAAAATTAAGGTTAAACATACCTGTACCACCAACAACAAAGCGAGACGATGAAATTGACTGCGATAGTTCCAATGTAGATAAAAATGGCGAGGAATCATTATTTTTGTTTCCCGTGTCTTTGGTTTGATCACACTTCGATGAAGTTTCACGAATCCCAGTAGAACGAGTAATACAAAGCGGGTCAAATTCTTCCCAAGGCTAAAAGATTTTAGAATGACTACAAGACGGAATTTCACGAAAACTGCAAATTAAAAAAAAACAAACAAAACCTCTCTCACCCTACAGATATCCTTATACATGAATTGATGGTGTTATGATATGCGGATGATACTACAGCAATAATATCAAAATCCATCATGAAAAAACTGGTTATATTAGCAAATATGAAGTCGGACATGTGAAAGAGTGAGCAAACATTATAGCAAGATTAACAGCGAAATTTTTTGATTAATTTAGTAGATCTGAGGGTGCATGCTAAAAAAAGAAAACAATGTCTGATCTCAATAAAGTACTTTAACAAAAAAGAAAAAGAAATGTAGGGAATAAACGAAAGCACTTCAATACCAATACACTCCTTCAAAAATTCAAAGAAGATAAGACCCAACGAAAATTTTTATGGGAGGAAAAAAAACTGAAGGAAAATATATTAGCCATAAAGTAAGTTTCCAACTTATTTTATTGCAAATACTAAAAACTGCAGATTGAATATATTACAGTACTTCAGAATGTTTAACAGCAAAACGATAGACGAAGTAAATTCTTGCGCAAAGGCTGACTAGCGCTATTCAGTCTTTTTCAGTAACATATCATAGGGCTTGTTCGACTATCAAAAGTTTATGAATCCAGTCTGAATTTTTTATGGATTAAGTTCCGAACTATTCAATTTTTTTGCAACGGAATATAAGGTCCAAATAATGCAGCTTTTTGAAAAAATGCAGTCAAAGAACTGAGTTATATTTTGTGAAAAAAAAAGAAACAAATAAATGGAGTTACAAAACTTATCTGTTAATTTCTGTTCATCACTGACATGCATCTGGTTAGCGGCAATTTAAACGGATAATTAATGAAAAAAAATACTTCTTTATCGCTTAGATCAATCAAATCGCTGTTTGTTTGCAAACTGTTAACAGAGGAACAGAAAGGAACAACAACTGTATTGTTCGACGAAGATAACGTTTTCAGACCAGCATCCGGAGCATCATCTCCCTCCTCAGCTCGAGTGATTCCCGAAGGTTGTGGATCAGGAGCATTCAGATAACGCACATCTGACTTCAGTCCTGATAAATTTCATAAAAATCCAATGTCGATTTTTTCGATCTCGATAATTTCGAAAATTATATTAATAATTCCATAAATATATGCATTAATTTGGAGAAAAAAATCGCCTCTATGAAAAAGCCCATTTAACTTTTGAAATGAATAACAAAATAAAACACAAGCAGAAAATTTTTTGATTGAGTATCTAACTTTCTCAAATTTCCTAATTATAACAAATTTGAAAATATTCCATATTTGAAATCATTAAAAATGACTTCAAATTCACTTAATGTAATGTACGCAATACAGACCTTCCCGTCTATCTTCAATGTGCCGATAAAATCCAATGTTTTTTGATGTTGTTGGAATGTTCGCATGATTAGGTGCTTGTCCATTTCTGCAAAATGACTATTAAATTGACTGCGACAGAGAAAAAATAAAATCATTTGTTACGTACAGTAACAAAAGCGATCGAATTTGAGTTCAAGACCTAAAAGAGCATGAAAATGATCTGCAAAATAAACTTAATATTTGATATATATTATTTGAGACTCCTATTTCAATATCTGAGACTTCTACTTCATGTTAACTATTTCCTTAAATAACCAATGATTTAAGAGTAAAGGAATAGAAGAAAAAATTAAAATTAAACAGATCTCTTTTTCAAACAAAACTTAATTCTTTCAAAAAAAAAGACGGATTTAAAATCTACGAAAATGTGTGGGTGTATGTGAGACAGCGGCTATGAATATCGTCGTTAGGCTGATTAATTTCTTGAATAGCAGATTTTTTTTCAACATCATCCCAACAAATCAAATCTTGCGCATATGCATTTTCTCTCCTCTTCCGTGATTCCTCTTCATATGACTGCCTAAAACAATATTTCATATCGCAATAAGAAATAAATTAAAAATTCTGCGTGTAAATTCCAATTTTGAATTTCAACCTAATTAGATAAAGAAAGGAAAATTTCAGCTAAAAATCAATTCTTTCGTATATTTAAAATCAGTTATGTTATTAAACTGTGGTTGAACTGCAAGAAATACCACTATTTCTTAACAGTACCAACATATTTGTCATAATAAAATCAAAGACGGCATAAAAGTATCTGACCTACTAAGTTCCAGCGCAAGCTCCAAATCTCTATCATAAGCATAATTATTTGTCGCCATTTTGCTTCTTTAAGATTTTCTATACATCTGTAATAATTTGAAAAATAACGAAAACAATATTCTAACAAACGATTGATTACTAATCGCATAATAATACGTGATGAGCAATTTCTCTAAATTCATAGTAATTCCACACACGTTCCATTACTATCAATTTTGAGAGCAAACTCTTTCTCTTTTTGTTTAACTGACCGTTCATCATTTTTTTTGCTTGAACAAAAACATTTCTTTGCAAAATAAAATTTCAGGAACATATCAGGGAAAAATTATGGATAACAGGAAGAAAATGAGGAAAAAATAAACGAAATGAAGGTTGGAAATTCCAGCTTTTTTGCGTTTTTCACTTTTAACAAACGGTTCTAATCCCTAAATTTATAACTTTCATGTTTATATCAGATTCGTTTCTGTCATAATTTATTACATATTCGAATCCCGAACATCGTCAAAGAAAAGTTTTTTGTAATATCATGAAGCAAAATAACCTGTAGCTAATTACTTTGGTAAGATAGATAAAAAACATAGGCTCATATTTTTAATAATGAAGGAAAATCCAAATTTAAACTCAGCAAAACCAATGTATCAATTCAAACTGTCTGGCTCAAACTGATCGAGAAACGAGAAATCTACTATGATGATGTTAATAAA